TATCTGTGAATTAACTTTCTTTCTATATATATATATATATATATATGTATATTATATTTTATATCACAAAAAAAATTATAAATATAATTAATAAAATTATTGATTAATCACAGCATTAAAATTCTATTGCTTTTAATAGAATTTCAAAATAATTGAAATATATAAACTTTTTAAATTTGTTTACGTTATTTTTATTCAAATGATGTAATAAATAACGTAAAAGTCTAAGTGATAAATGAAACAAAGACAAAAAAAATACATTCATACATAGTATGAATACTTATTAATACTAGCATTTGATCTATATTTATGATTATTTCTTTTATGTTAATGTAATATTTATAAAACATAAAATATTTATAATTTTTATTTAATATATGATTTAATTACATATTTATATATTTATAATAATATTATAAATAAATATTAAATAATTATTTAAAAATATTAAATTTTTAATTAAAAATATATTTTTTAATTATAATAAATTATAAAAATTATTAAATAATTATAATATATTTATAATTGAATATATTTGTTTTTTTGTATTTTCTTCTTATTTTTGACTTAAAAATTATAATTTAAAAAAATTAATTCAATTCAATTAATCAAAACTATTTTTTCATTTGGAATTCTTTTTAAAATATTAAATTATAAATATGTTTTTATCAATATTGTTATGTATTATTTTTTTTTGAAGAATTCATAAACTTTTCATCATCTTTAACAAAATATAAATGCAAATTTCAATAAATATCAAATCTTTTGCACTAAACATTAAAACAATTATGTTATGTAGTATAAAATTTGTTTCAGAAGAAGAGGAGGAGGAATTTCAGGATAATGACAGTCAAAAACCAGAACAAGTCTCTGTAAAGGATCTATCACAGCGTTTAGAAAATTTACAAGCCTGTAATGATTTATTAGTAAAAAAAGGGACAATGCTTCAGCGGATCTTAAACGAGCTTGAAGCGTTGGAGCCTCCATCGGCCGAATTAGGGACAAAAATAAAGACAGTCAGTGAACGAGCCACACTCTTTCGCATCGCAGCCAGTGCTATGGTTAATGTAAGTTGAAAGGCCATCGTTAAGACTAATATTCAGATTAAAATTTCTGGACAACATCATACAAAATTACTCTATTCTAATCTTATTATTCTATTTCTAGTGTTATTGATTTACAAAACAGATTTACAAAATAATTAGATATTGTTTGTCTTTATTTTCGTTAAAGATAAATTTTATAATATTATTACAAAAATTTTGTAATAATAGAGTTAATAACACAAAATTATAACATATTAATATAACTATAACAGAATTTATAAAAGTATATAAAAAAATGACATTTATTAATTTAATGTTACGTTCAAAAATGTTGAAGTTATATCGATCGTGTAAGAAATTAGAAAGAATTCTAATTCCAGGCAAGCAATGAATATTTGCAATTAGCGCAGCAACAAGAACCAAAATGGAAAAAGATGCTGCAACATGAGCGCGATCAGAAAGTACGAATAGAAAAAATGGTAGAACAATTGGCTAGGCAACAT